CACCAGGGAACTTGAGGACTATATGAGTGACCGGGTACAGTTTGTGATCACGGCGCAGGAGTGGGACCCCAGCTTTGAGGAGGTGAGTTGCAGTGGGGCAGGGAAGGGGCCATCCAACCCGCCCTTGTGGCCCCTCTACTTCCTCCTCACCCACATGCTCCCGTATGCCCCCCACTGCCCCCTGCAGGCCCTGATGGACAACCCCTCCTTGGTGTTTGTCCGCCCCCGATGGATCTACAGCTGCAACGAGAAGCAGAAGTTACTTCCCCACCAGCTATATGGGGTAGTGCCCCAGGCCTAAAATATGTGCCTGCGTGCGTGTGTCTGCACGTGTGTGTACTCACGCGTGCACACACACACGCACGTGCACACACAGACACACACACACGAGCTGAATAAAGGTGACCTGCTTTGGAATAGTTGCCCCTCTCTCTTACTTGGAAGTCTCCTAGAACCTCCTGGAGGCTCCCAGTTTTCTGTCTTATGTTTGGTTTCTGCTTCCCCACTGCGGGCCAGGTGTCTCGGCTGCCCCAAGACCTGACCCCTGTCCTGGGGTCCTGGAGAGAGCGAGTGGCTCTTCATCAGGGGTTCGGTCGGGAAGAAGCTCTCCGTTGTTCTCCCCGTCAGCTTACCCCTCTGGTGGCAGGGAATTGGGTTTCTAAGCCTCTGAGCCCATTCCCGGGTCTTGTTTGTTCCTCGTGGGTCCTGGGCTGGAGGCCTGGGTGCTCCTGAGGTGTGCTTCTCTCTTGAAGTCCGTCTCTACTCCCCTGGGCCAGGATATCTCCCTTTCTCAGGGCTTTCAGAAGTGGCCGTACAACTGTCACCAGCATGGTTTTTACATCACCTCGTTTGGGAAGTAAAATAGGGGAAGGGGCATTTTAATCAACCCACCCAAATCCTGGACCCCCTTCAAGCCTGCACCATAGGTAAGTTGGGAACTGAGCCAGGTGTCAGAGAATCGGGCGGAAGCTGGATGGCGTTCTAGGCAGGGGCCATGGTGTGGGCCAAGGCCAGGATGTGGGAACGAGCCCCTAAAGGAGCAGATCTGTCTGGAAGGGTGGACACAGCCCTTGCAGCTGTGCTGTCCTACACAGTAGGCCCTGGACACAGGTAGCTATTTAAGTGAACTACAATGAAATGAAAAATTCACTTCCTCGGTCACGCCGGCCACACTTCAGGTGCTCAGCGGCTGCTGTAGTGGTGTGTACAGATAGAGAACAGTGACATCACCATAAAAAGCAAAGGACAGGGCCGTTCTGAAGGCCTATGAACGCCAGGTCAAAAAGCTTGGACGTTATCCTGAGGTCAGGGAGGTCAGGAAGGGGTCTGAGCAGAGCAAAGGGCAGTCAGAGCTGGGTAACAAATTAACATAAACAGTGTCGTAAAACAACAAAATTGTAGAACCTTCTAGGTCTAGAGGTCTGAAGTCCAAAACGAGTCTTACTGGGCTAAACTTCAGGGTGTAGGCAGGGCCGTGTTCCTTCTGGAAGCTCTGGGGAAAATCTGCTTTCTTGTCTTTCTCCCCAGATCCCCAATTCCCCTTCTGTATTCAAAGCCAGCAGTGGCCAGGGGAGTCCTTCACATCACCCTGACACTGACTCTTCTGACTCCTTCCCCCTTTAAAAGATCCTTGTGTTTACCTCGGGACCACCTGGATACTCTGGCATAATCCTCCTGTCTTAAAGTCAGCCAATTAGCAACTTTGATTTCTTCAATGGTAATTCCCCTTTGCCACATAGCGTATTCGTGGGTTCCAGGGATTAGGACCTGCATGTTTTTGGGAGGCCGTTATTCTGCCCAGCGCGCCAACTATGGGTGAGACAGTGGAACTGCAGGGTGAAAAACACACGAGGCCCCACTCAAGGGACTGACATTCCTCTGAGGGCAAGACCGCAGCATGGAGCAGTGATAAATGTGTGAGGGCAGATAATGCAGGGCAGTGTTACAGTGATGGGACAGGGTGGTGTGGTTTAGATAGGGTCAGTGGGGAAGGCGTCTCAGCCAACTGAATCCTCTGCAGGGAGAAAGAAGTAGGGGAGGGTCTGAAAAAGCAAGTGCAAAGGCCCTCGGGCAGGAGCTAGCTTGAGCTATATAAGGAGCAGCAGGAGGTCAGGGTATTTGAGACTCGGACCCACCCCGGCCTTGGGTACAGGCAAATCCCATGTCTTCTGGCCTGTTTCTCCATCTGTACAATGACATTTAGGCCAGAGATCAACACCCCTCAAATGCATTTGCGTTCCTGAAACTTTGATGGTGGTGTGGTTGCTGTGGGGGAAATCTTCCAGAACAGCTCTATATGTAAACATTGATAAAATCGCATTTCCAGGTGTGGAAGGACTTGAATCCTCACCCTCGCCACCTCTTCCCCCAAGGCTTTGCTGAGTGGACTGTGGTCCGGCAGCCTGCTAATTTGCATTTGCCTGCTCGGTCCCACCCCTTCTGCCGGATACTTCCACAAACCATTTCTCATTCCATCCACACATTTCAGATCTCAACTCAAACACTACCTCCGTAAAAAGGTCTTTTCTAACCCTCTATATAATAGTGTTTGCTAGGTATACACTTTCATAATACTGTATCTCTTGTCATAGCTATAAACTTGATTTATGGTCAAATTTACCAGTCTTTTCCTCTATGATATGGCTTTCTTGTGTCTTACAGATTCCTTCTGTACCTCTGCGGTTACTAAGCTACTCTCCTTTATTATTTCCATCTATTTTGCTTTTCAAATTTAAATCTTTTTTTTTAAATAATTTAATTTAATTTTTTAAAATTTTTTTTTTTTAATGCTTTATTTATTTCTGAGAGAGAGAGAAACAGCGTAAGCAGGGGAGGGGCAGAGAGAGAGGGAGACACAGAATCTGAAGCAGGCTCCAGGCTCTGAGCTGAGCTGTCAGCACAGAGCCCGACGCGGGGCTCGAACCCACAAACCATGAGATCATGACCTGAGCTAAAGTCGGACGCTTAACCGGCTGAGCCACCCAGGCGCCCCTCAAACTTAAATCAGCAGAATCTTATTTTTGTGTATGCAATGAGACTGGGGTCTGTAGGTTTCCTATTGCTGCTGTAGCAAACTATCCCAAGCTTAGCAGCCTTAAACAACACTTAACTCTCTTACAGTTCTGTAGGTCAGTAGTAGTCCAATGTCCGTCTCAGTGGGCTAAAATTGTGGTGTGCAAGGCTGTGTCCCTTCCAGGGAGGATCCATTTCCTTAACTTTTTCTAGTGTCTAGAGGCTGCCTAAATTCCTTGACTCATGGCCCTGCATCCCTCCAGTCTCTATCGCCGCTGACCCTTCTGCTTCCCTCTTTCCCATATAAGGACCCCTGTGGTTACACGGGGAGGGGATGTGGAATAATCAGGTTAATATCCCCATCTCCAGGGGATAATCTCCCTGTTTTAAAGTCAGCCAACCAGCAACTTTGATTCCTTCATTCACAATTCTCCTTTACCCCATAGCATGTTGGTGGGTTTCAGGGATTGGGAGGTGGCCATCTTTGGGAGGCCATCATTCTGCCTGGCCACGCCCAAGATCCTTAATCATATCTGCAAAGCCCCTTCTGCCACAGGTAAAGTAACATGCTCAGGTTCTGGGGATTAGGACTTGGACCTCTTTAAGGGACCATTATTCTGCCTCTACAGGGTCCCACTTGATTTTTTTCCCCCATACCTCTCAGCTCATTCACAGGTTAGCCTGTCCTTTCCCCCACTCACCCACAGCAGGGATCTGTAAACCACATCCCATGGGCAACTCCGAGCCCACCTATGATTTCTATAAAGTTTTACCGGACCACAGCCACACTCATTTGTCCATGTATCATAATGTGTACAGCTGCTTTTGTACCACAGCGGCAGAGTGGGGTAGTTGCAGCAAACCCCGTGGCCTGCAAAACCTAAAATTAGATAGGCCCTTTAGAGATAAAGTTTGCCAGCCCCTCAATGACATGTAGGGATGGTCACTTGTCAGGACCCCCCGTAAGCACAGGGCTGTTTCTGAGCTCCTGGTTCTCTTTCACTGGCCTGTTCCCAAGCCCACGTCACAGATGTCATTCCTACAACTTTGAAAGAATTCTTGGTACCTGGGGGTGGGGGTGGGAGGCAAGGCTGCCTCCCCTACTCCATCCCCACCTTTAATTTTTTTTTTCTTTCTTTTGCTCACTACTTGATTAGTGCTCACTTCCCTCAGTAGACCAGGCCTGGCATGTTCACTGCCGTGTTCCCACCACCCTGGGCAGGGGCCAGCACGCCGTAGGCACGTAACACATTTGTAGAATGAAGAGCAGCCCCATGTTAGCTCAGTCATTCTTACTTTATAGCAGGAGAAACAGGCTTCGAGAAGGGAAGTGACGGCCGGAGACAATGCCTGCGCCCTTACAAAGGCCTTATAACACCCCCACATTCTAGATAAGGCATCTGAATCCAGAGGAGTGACAAAGCTTGTCCAGGGTTCCCCAGTAGTGGGCCAGGGCTGGCTCCAAAGCTTGAGCTTTAAAACATTTTTATACTGGGGTACCAGGTTGCCTCAGTCGGTTGAGGGTTTGACTTCAGCTCAGATCAGGTCATGATCTCAAGGTTCAGGGAATCCGAGCCCTGCATTGGGCTTGCTGATGTCAGCCTGTAGGCACAGAGCCTGCTTCAGATATTCTGTCTCCCTCTCTCTGCCCCTCCCCTGCTTGCACTCTCCCAAATTATAAATATTAAAAAATTTTTTTTTTACTCTTCGTAGTATATCCTTTGTTCTTGCTTTTACCATTTAGTATATTTAGGAACTCTTTTCACATCTGTACAAATAGAGCTTCCTCCCCTCCCCCAGCTACATAGTCCATTCTGCGGCTCTACTGGAATTTATTAGCTGGTCTCCCATTGACGGGCACTTGGGTTGTTTCTCATCTTTGGCCACAGCCATCCCGCTGTGGACATCCTTACCCTTACATCTCTTCCAGTGCCGAGTTTATCTACAGGAGAAGTTCCTAGAAGTAGAATAGCTGACACGACCACGTGTGCATTTAAAATTTTTTATAGGTAGCGTCAAACGGCCAAAATGCAGGTACCAATTTAACTCACAATAAGGAGAGACCCTGTTTCCCTACATTCCTCACCAACCCACGGTGCTAGCTGACTTTTTTACTTTTGCCTTATGCATAGGAGGGAGAAACCCGGAGCTAGGGCTTGCTTTCAAACCACAGATCCACACCCATTGTTTGGGGCCCAGTGCTAACTCTCTGTGGGTGACACCTTTCCCTTCCCAAAACAGGTGAGCAGATTTCCTCAGCCTGGTAAGTTTGAACCCAGTGTGGAGCAGAGGCAAGTCCTTACAGCCCAGCTTAGAAGTACCACCTCTTTATTGACACGGGCGTGTGCAGGAGGGCACTCTGAGCCACGGGGAGGACTCACTCGCGCTCCGCCTGGCTCTCTGACTGGTGGTGGCTGCGCTGGTGAAGGAGCAGGAGGCGTCTTTGGCCAAAGGCCTGATCACAGCTGGAGCAGCGATGCCGGGCTGTGGCCTGGCTGCCTGGCGCCGTCGGAGGGTCATGACACAGGCGATGGGCGGCCAGTTTGGAAGGGAAGGAAAAAGCCTTGGGGCAGTGCGGGCAAGGATAGGGACGGGCATCGGTGGCGTGGTGTGTGTGGCGGTGGGCTGCGAGCTTGGAGGGGTAGCAGAAGGACTTGGGGCAGTCCGGGCATGGGTAGGGGCGGGCAGGCGCATGGGTCCAGAGGTGGGCTGCCAGCTTGGAGCGGTGGCCGAAGGCCTTTGGGCAGTGAGGGCACGGGTGTGGGCGGGCACCACTGTGCGTGAGGCGGTGGGCTGCCAGCTTGGAGGGGTAGGAGAAGGCCTTGGGGCAATCAGGGCACGGATGCGGGCGGGCGCCGCCATGTGCCAGCCGGTGCGTGGCCAGCTTGGACGGGTAGGAGAAGGCCTTGTCACAGTCTGGGCAGCGGTGTGGGCGCTGGGGCGGGGGCCGCCGGCGGGGTCGAGAAGGCGCCCCTTTGGACGTGGCAGGCCCTGGAACCGACTGGCTGGGCTTCTGCGGCGAGCCCTGGTGGGGAGCTACAGGACAGGAGGGCGGTGGGCTCCAGGCATCAGCCAGCACCCTGGATTTTCTGAGCCCTAAAAATGATCACTGAGGCTTCCCAGCACCAATAGTACGATCCCCCAGAACGCGTTTTGGGGGATCCCACATGGTCCCATCACCCTAGGCCTTCAAACTTTCACCCTGAGATTCCCTCAAAATGTCATTCTCGTAGCCCAATTCCTGTAGAATGCCCCCTACCCACGGGCGGGACCGCTCTCACCTCCTCCCTTGGTTTTAGGCTCCTTGCCGGTGGGACTAGGATCTGTGTCCCCGGCCGCGGTCTCCGCATCTCGTTCCAGCATCTTGCTGGCCCAGGACCCCAGGGCGAGGTAGGCCACACCGATGATTATCAGGCTGATGGGGATAGGCTGTAGGGCCTAAAATCAGGGACCAGCGGGTTAGGAGCGAGATCTTTTTTAAGTCTGTCATCCAAAGGCGAGGGTAGGCGTTATTTACGGGTAGGCGGAGCCTAAAAGCACAACCATCGGGGGTTTATGCAAACGCTACCCTTTGCAACTTAGACCCAGGGTTGGAGCCTTTGCGCAGAGTGGGCGGGGCCTCTACAACTTAAACTCTGGGGCTGCCCTGAGCGCGGAGTTGGCGAGACCTTGATCCAGAGTGGGCGGGACCTTCCCCCATTGGAACCTCCCAGCCGTGGAAACTAAGACGGGAGTGGGCGGGGTCACGTAAATAAGCTCCCAAGCAACTCAACCCAGGGGAGGGGCCTTCCAGCGGGGTGGGCGGGTCTTTTACAACTCTGTCCCAGGGGAGGGGCCTGATCTCTGAGCGGGATTCACCTCCAATAGGTAGCTTTACCCGAGTCTCGGTTTAGTCTCAGTCCATTGACGCCGCGTGAACTGCTTCTTTCTTGTTGCTAAATTTCATTCCCAGCGTGGAGGGTAGAGGGGAGTCCTGAAGGGAGATGCAGAAAGAACGTGGCCTGTCTTGCGATTAAAAGACCCCTAATGGATCTCTCCTTCGGGGTCCCAAGCGTCCGGGCCTCAATGCACCCCTCGGAATCATGGCATTCGTGCACCAATGCACCCTATCAAGGCTCAGGCACCAGTGCAGTCCCTCCGGAACCTAGGCATCAGGACCCCAATCTATTCTTTTCCGGGAGATCCTGGCGTCCAGCCCCCAATCCACTTCCCGAAGACCCAAGCATTCGGGCCCGGACCCGTGCCCGCCTCACCTGCGGAAGGCCCCTCCCCGGGGGCGGGGCTCCGGGCCCCTCCCGCAGCGGCCGCTGCAGCTGCCGCGCTGCCCTCGGACGCCCAGGAGCCGCACCGCCCGGCGCGCGCCCAGCGACGGGAGGGGAGGGAGGGCGCGCGTGCTGCTCGGCCCAGCCTCATTTCCATCCACTCCTCCCACGCGGGGGCCGGTGGGGGCGTCAGTACGCATGCGCAGTCGCGGCCAGCAGAGGCTGCTGCGTGGGGGGAGAAGAAATAGAAGGAAGGGGTGGGGGCGCAAGGCGGACAAGTTGGTGAGCAAGCGCGGAGCTAGTCAAAGGGCCATAGGAGAGTGTACTGCGGGTTGCAGGGCCTACGGTGGCTGAGTGGAGTCAAGCACGTGCAGGAACTAACTCGGGGAAACTGCGCTTAGAGATCACTGAGACACTGAGACACCTTCCCTTCTATGTCCCCCTTCCTTTCGAGAATTCCGTTGGGAGCTTGAGTTCACTCTCCGGAGCGAGTTCCAAGAGCCGGTGTTCCATTTCACCCCTCAAGGCGTTTGCAAAGAAGTCAGGCCAATTCATCGTGAGAGGGCGGGGCGAGACTCCAGGCTCAGAGAGAGCTGGCGTCCAATAAAAAACGTGTTATTTGCATAGGGCCCCGGCATCTTTCTCCATTGGGCAATTTGAGACTCTCAGCACCTCCCACCCCAATGTCCCTGCCCAAGTGTGGTAAGGGGATGGGGGCGGCTGTTCCTGAAATATCCCAGCGGGAGGACTTGGGAGGGTTGGAGCTCCGGATGCCAGGCCCTGGGTGCCATGCTTGGCACCCTTCCCCGGGCCGTGACGGTGCACTTTCCCGCCCAGCACGGGAATGGCCGTGAAGTGCCCATAAAAATGCCCTGCATGGGTGGGTCTTCAGTGTGATAACCCACAAGGTCTGGCGAGTTCTAGGAGCCCTGGGAGTTAGATGTGTAGGGTTATCCGAACTCTGGAGCCAGATTACCTGGGTAACCGGTTTGGGATCTTGACTCGGCCACTTTCTAGCAGTGTAGTCTTGACCAAGTCCCTTCATCTTTCTGGGTTGTTAGGATTAAATTCAGTAATCAATGGAAAGTTTAGACCAGTGCCTACAGTGTTCAATACATGCTACCAATATTACTTTTTGTTTTTGTTGGGCATTGAAATAAGCCATGATGGAATCAAAGTTGTCCCAGAACAGCAGCAAGTGCAGAGAGCTCAAGGTGGGAAGGAACATGCTATGTTCAGGGGATCTTTCCTACCTCCATCCTCAAAATTCATCTTCTTTCCAGAGCTGGTACATCCCATGGTCCATCCTACTTCAGGACCTTTGCACTGGCGATTCCCTCTATCTCCCCCTGCCCCAACCCCAACCAAGGTCATTCCTCCATCAACTTATTTATCTGACTCCCCATTCTGATCTCATTTCAAATATTATCACTGCAGAAGGCCTCCCCTGTCCACCCTAGCTCATTGAGACCCCTTCCCTTCATTTCTCTGTTGTCACATCTCTGTTGTACGTATTTAATACAGTATGCCTGTCCCCTAGAATGTAAGCTATGTTAAGATGAACAACTTGTCTGCCTTGTTCACCCTCTGTCCAGAACAGAGCTTAGCACATTGTAAGTATCCCATAAATCTGTATCAGATAAACGCTGAAAAGATTTAACAGCCAGAAGTTCTCTGCGAAGAGCAGATAGACTCTGGGGACAATGTGGAACTTGGGGTCAAGGAATTAGAAAGAGGCGTAGCTGGGTGGGAAAACAAGGAAGGTTTTTAAATATGGGAAATGGCATGAACTAGTTTAGGTTTTCATATACTCTTTTTTTTGTAAATGTTTTTTAATGTTTTATTTATTTCTAGGAGAGAGATAGAGACAGCATGAGCAGGGGAGGGTCAGAGAGAGAGGGAGTCACAGACTCTGAAACAGGCTCCAGGCTCTGAGCTGGCAGTCAGCATAGAGCCCGACGTGGGGCTCGAACCCACAAACCGCGAGATCATGACCCAAAAAGTCGGACGCCCAACTGACTAAGACACCCAGGCGCCCCTACTCTTTTTTTTTTTTTTTTAAGTAGGTTCCATGCCCAGCGTGGACCCCAACATGGGGCTTGAACTCATGACCCTGAGCTCCAGACCTGAGCTGAGGTCAACAGTCAAACGTTTAACCTTCTGAGCCACCCAGGTGCCTCATTATAACTTTTAAAAAATTTTTGTTTTAGGTTATGGAAAATTTCAAACATGACCAAAGGGAGAGGAAGGGAAAGAGTATAACCAACCCCTCACCAGCGCTTGACCCACATGACCAATCTTGTTCCATCCTCCCCTCCCCCATTAAGTCCCTTGAATTATTTTGAAGCAAATTCCACACGTTTCATCCAGAAACACTTAAGTCTGTGTTCCTAAAATATAAAGACTCTCTTTTTCTCTTTTAAACACAACCAAAACATCATTATCACAACTTTCAAACTTTCGAGTCATTTCTTTTTTTTTCTTTTTTTAAAATTTTTAAATGTTTTATTTATTTCTAGGAGAGAGAGAGACAGTGTGAGCAGGAGAGGGTCAGAGAGAGAGGGAGTGACAGACTCCGAAACAGGCTCCAGGCTCTGAGCTGGCAGTCAGCACAGAGCCCGACGCGGGGCTCGAATCCACGAACCGCGAGATCATGACCCAAGCGAAAGTCGGACGCCCAACTGACTAAGCCACCCAGGCGCCCCAAGAGTCATTTCTTTTTTTTTTTAACGTTTATTTATTTTTGAGAGAGAGTGACAGAGGATGAGCAGGGGAAGGGCACAAAGAGAGGGAGACAGAATCTGAAGCAAACTCCAGGCTTTGAGCCATCAGCACAGAGCCCAATGTAGGTTCAAACCCACGAACCGTGGGATCATGACTTGAGTCGAAGTCGGACAGGGTGGCTTAACTGAGCCACCCAGGTGCCCCAAGAGTCATTTCTTCACATTGTCACATTTCTCCCATGGTCCTCTGTATATCTTGCTTTTCCTTTTTAAGAACAATGTTTTATTTCAAACATACAGAAAGAGTGGGAATAGTATTGTTCTCTGCATTAAGAATGGAAGTGGTGTGTCTGCATCAGAATCTAAGCAAGATTCACACATGGTGTTTGTTTTCTGTGATTCTTCAGTCTCTTTGTCATTGACATTTTATTTTATTAATTTTTAAATTTTTAATGTTTATTTATTTTTGAGGGGGGGCAGGGGCAGAGAGAGAGACACACACAGAATTGGAAGCAGGCTCCAGGCTCTGAGCTGTCAACACAGAGCCTGATGCGGGGCTCATACTCACGAGCTATGAGATGAACACCTGAGCCGAAGTCAGGCGCTTAACCAACTGAGCCACTCAGGTGCCCCTTTTGACATTTTTTAAATTTTTACTTTAATTTTTATTTTTTTAATGTTTTATTTACTTTTGAGAGAGAGAGACAGAGAGAGAGAGAGTCAGAATGAGTAGGGGAGGGAGACACAGAATCAGAAGCAGAAGCAGTCTCCAGGCTCTGGGCTGGCTGTCAGCACAGAGCCCAACGCGGGGCTTGAACCCACAAACCGTGAGATCATGACCTGAGCCGAAGCCGGATGCTTAGCCAACTGAGCCACCCAGGCGCCCCTTTGACATTTTTTTAAAAAAGTTTATTTATTTTGAGACAGAGAAAGAGAGCACAAGTGGGGGAGGGACAGAGAGATAGAGAATCCCAAGCAAGCACTGTCACTGCAGAGCCTGAAGAGCTGGATGTGGGGCTCAAGCTGACAAACTTTGATATCTTAACCTGAGCCAAAATCGGATGCTTAACAGCTTAATTGGCTGAGCTACCCAGGCACTCCTGTCATTGACATTAAAAGGCTCACTCTGGTTGCTGCATGGAAAATAGACTGTAGGGAAGCAGAGTAGAAGCCAGAAGCCCAGTGAGGTGGGTGTTATATATTAATTATAATATTAACTACCAGCATTTATTTAGCACTAAATTATATACCTGAAACTACCCTGAGTGCTTTGTATACGTTCTTTGATTTCATCCTGACAGCAAGTTTTTAAGAGGAGGTGCTACCATTATCCCCATTGTACAGAAAAGGAAAATGAGGCACAAGATGGAAGGTCACTTATTCAAGGTCACACAGCCTGGAAGTCGCAGGGTCAGGATTTAAACTCCTGCAGCCAGGCCCTGGAATCCACATAATTTGCATTTATGCTTTGCTGTCTCTTGACTGGGGCTGAGGGCGGGATGGTGGAGAAGTGGCTTGATTGGAGAGGTTAACTTAACAGGGCTTAGTGATGAATTGGGAGGAAGGTGATAAAATAATGATAATAGCTTGTCTGTGCCAGGTGCTCTCCCCGACTCTTTACATGTCTGAACTTATTAGATCTTCACAATGAGGGAGGAGCTATTTTCAACCTCATTTTACAGATGAGTATACTGAATGAAGCCCAGAAAAGGGTAAATTTTGAGCCCAAGGTCACACAGTTTGGAAGGGGGATGCCCAGGTTTCTACCTCGTAGGGCATCTCACCTCACCGCTGACTCAGAAGGTGTGCATGCTTTCAAGGGATGCTAACAGTCTAGCAATCCTACAGAAACAGCAAGAATGGGCCCCGTGGTGAGGAGGTCTGATTTGGGGCCACCCTCACAGTAGAGTGCTCGAGGATCCCTGCTTTCCTGTTTCCTCCTTCCCCTGAGCTCCTGGCAATCCCAGAACCTCCTTGTGTTTCAGCCCTGACGTCTGCATCATTCTCACCAGCAGGACAGGACTCACGTCTGGGTCCCCAGCTTCGCCCAGCTTGGGGCAGGCACGCGGGAGACCGTAAGTGAGGAATAAACGCGCCAAATTCTCTCCTTGACATAGAGCTTTTCTACCTGCCTGTTTCTCTCCTGAGACAGTCTCTCCGTCTTTCTGCTCATTCCTCCTTGCTCTAATGTCCCAACATCTCTTGCCGTCTTCCGTAATCTAGAATTTCCAAGTGTATCTTTGTGACCATATTTCCTTTGATGGACATCCCATTTCACCTTTATATCTCTCCATGAATCTCTGAACGTCGTTCCAGGTCTCTCTTTTTGGAACTTCGGAGTCCAAGTCTCTCTCAAGTCTCTGAGCATCTCCCTTGTCTCTGAGTGGCTTTCTGGTTCTCTCGA